ATCCATTCCTTCGCCCTTCTCCCTCCTGCCTCCCCGGAGCCCGCACAACGAAGCACGGTTCAGAGCGGCGGGGCATCGAAGTATCGCAAAGAAGTTCTGTATCATCGGGTATCGAGAAGTAGCCATGCTGCCCTGGGAATCCAAGTGAACTTTCAGCGCGCGCTTCTGGCATTTCCCACACGACATGCGGATGCAGCACTAAAGCAGGATTTATGGCACGCGCGCGCTGCGGAGCATCCAGGCTGGGCAAAGAAGATACGCGATATCGGGTATGCAGAAGTGGCCATGTTGCCCATGGGACTTTGGCACGGGTAATTTGGAATTTCGCACAATTTATTGCTCGTCTTCAACAATCAACCAGGGTTCAGCGCGTCTCCCGCGCGCGCGCGGCTGAGCATCCTAGCCCTGCAAGGAAAGTCTGTAATATTCTTGGCATCGCTCAGACGTGTGCATTTTTGTTTGGCGAGGGCCATCGAGGAGTATCGAGGACCATCTTGCGAACAAGTAAACGCACAAAACTGAAACATGCACGGGGAATGGACGTCCGAGCGATCGCATTGGAAACTCAGAAGTCTGAAGTATGTATTTTGGAGGCAAACTAGCTTCAAAAGCAGATCTCTAAAAACTCGAATAAAACCCTGATTCAACTCTGATTCAACTCTGGCCCGAAACTCTGTTTCGTCTGTGATTTTTTTGAAACCCTGATTTAGCTCTGGTCTGAATTCTGATTTAACTCTGATTCGGCTCGTTACCCAGCCGCTGAAAACAGAGGTGAGTCAGAGCTGAATCTGCGTTTAGTCAGAGTTCCAGACCAGAGCTAAATCAGAGTTTGAGCTAAATCAGAGATGAGTCAGAATTTCAGGCCAGACTCAAAACAGAGTTGAATCGGAGTCTCATCAGAGTTCTGGCAGTTCGGGGCGGAGGGCGCGGGGCGCTCTGCGCAAGTGCGCTTGTTTTCTTTCGAATGAGGGGGGCACGATGGGCGAGAACGAGGGCGGGAACGAAAGCGGGAACGAGGACGGGAGCGACGACGGGAACGAAGGCGGAAACGAGGGCGGGAACGAAGGTTGGAACGAGGGTTGGACTGAGGGCTGGAACGAGGGCGGGAACGACGGCGAGAGCGACGGGAGCGAAGGCGGGAACGAGAGCCGGAGCGCGGGCGAATGCGAGAGCGGGAGCGAGGGCGGGAGCGAAGGCGGGAGCGACAACGACGGCCTTCTGGGGGGGGGGGGGGCGGCGCTGGCCACCGAGGGCGGCTGGCCCCTGCCCCGCGACGACTGCCAACATTGAGGTTCGAAGAATCCCAAGGGCGCTTCTATTTATTTCTTTATTGGGGGCGGGCGACCGGGGGAGCCGAATGACCGGGCCCCGAGTCTCGCGCACAGACCCTCAGAGGCAACAGCCGCCCCAAATCTCGCACAATCTTCGTACCTCAAATCCTCGCCCCCCCCATCCTCGCCCCCCCCTTCCCCCGCCCCCCCCCCCTCCGCTTCCTCTTCGGGGGGAAGGGGGGAGGAGATGGATCCAAGATCGAATCTCGAAGGTCGGACATGTTTTGTGTATTTCTGTTTGGCGACAAAGGGACTTCTCGTCGCCGCGGCTGGCCCCCCTTGGAGCCTGTGGCCAGACCAGGAGACGTTTTTGAAAGGGCCGCCGGGCGCCGCGCAACACGAGCGAGGCTGAGGTTTTCTGTTCTTACTTCGGTCTTCGCTGGCAGCTCCCAGGCCCTTGGGCCACCCAAAACGATCTCGGACGAACAATTGGTTCCTAGAAGGGATCGAGAGGTCCGGGGGCCATGCTTCGAAAATACGGCCTGTCGGATGTCGATGCGCGTGGGCGTTGTTATCTGTTGTGATGAGCCTCTAGGAGTTTCTCGTGGGTCGCCCCCCCCCGAAATTCCCGTCAGGGCGCGCCCATGGGGAGGCGTAGTGGTCGATCTTCGAAGGGGGCCCGACCTGACCTTTGGCGACGCGCGCCCCAGGACCGATGGGGCGCGCGCAAGCACGGGGAACAAAGAGCGGGAAAGCGAAGGGGAGAGAGGAGAGGAGGGGAGGGAAACGGCGCAGAGAAGAGAAGAACACATGTTTTGGGCGCGTGGGGGCACGCGGCGGCCCTGCGCACTCGCGGTCGTTCAAACAAGCGCCCGCGCAGTTGGGAACCGCCCCCGCCGCGCGCCCCAACAACGAGTTTTGCCACTAGCTGCACATGCGCTGGGGTCGCTCCCGCCCTCGTTCACGCCCTCGTTCCCGCCCTCGTTCTCGCCCTTGTTCTCGCCCTCGTTCCCGCCTTCGTTGCCGCATTCGTTGCCGCCTTCGTTCTCTTCCTCGTTCCCGCCCTCGTTCCCGCCCTCGTTCCCGCCCTCATCCTCGCCCTCGTTCTCGCCCTCGTTCCGGGATCGCCCGCGGGTCGCCCGGTGAATCCAAGGGCCGCCCGGGGAAATTAAACTTGAAACACAGTTTCGGCCATACCTCAACCAGACTTCAAACAAGCAGGGTTTGACCCGAAACAGACCTCAAACATACTTCAAACAGACCTCAAACAGACCCCAAACAGACTCCAAACAGATTTCAAACAGACCTCAAACAAACTTCCCAGAGGTTCCAGGAGGTTCCCCGGAGTTGCCCGGAGGTTTCCCAAAGGCGCCCGGAGGATTCCCACGAGCGCCCAGAGGTTCCAGAGGCGCCCGGAGGAATCCCCGAGGCGCCCAGAGGATTCCCAGAGGCACCCCCCCCGCCATCATTCCCGCCCTCGTTCCCGCCAACGTTCCCGCCCTCGTTCCCGCCCTTGTTCCCGCCCTCGTTCCCGCCCTTGTTCTCTCCCTCGTTCCCGCCTTCGCTCCCGCCTTCGTTCCCGCCCTTGCTCCCGCCTTCGCCCCCGCCCTCGCTCCCGCCCTCGCCCCCGCCCTCGCTCCCGCCCTCTTTCCCGCCCTCGTTCTCGCCCATCGTTCCCGCCCTCGCTCCCGCCCCAGTTCCTGCCCTCGCCTCCGTTCTCGTTCGGCCCAGCACTGGTTGTCGCCGTCATGGAGATTGTTCTCGGGCCCCGGGGCCGCTGGGAATCGATCTGGCGCGAAGAACAGGCCAAGGTGGGCCCCAGGAGAGTCCTGGGGGTCGATTTTGAGTGGATTTGCCTTTGCCCCCCCCCTCTTGAGCGATTTTCTGCGGCCCCATCCAGTTCAGACCCCCTCGCCGCTTCCAACCGCCGGCCCATCCAGAAACCACGTCGCAGCCTCCGATTGTGTGTGTGTGTGTGTATATATATATATATATATATATATATATATATATATATATATATCGGAGTAGACCGGGGTGGAACCCGGCCGGTACCGCCATCTTCCATGGGCGCCCCTCAGGACCTTTGGGGGGTCACAGACCCCCCGACACTGCCCCGGGCCGCTTCCACATTGCCCGCGACAGGCCACGCGGGCCGTACAGACGGTGAAGAAAACCTCAAGAGGCCCCGAAGACGCCTAAGAGCGCTCCAAGAGGGCCCGTGATGGCTTGAAGAAGGCCGACGACGCCCCCAAGAGGGCCTTCAAGAGGCAAGCATATGCCCATTCCCTTCGTGAAACGTACGTTTTCAGCATACTCGCTTGCTTCGTTTTCGCAGTGCCACAGACGCCCCGAGGAACCCCAAAACAGCCCAAGAGAGACCCAAGAGGGCCCAAAACGGCCCAAAAGGGTCGTCCTGTGAGGCTCACGGAAACCCCCGAGACGGCCCAAGAAACCCCAAAGCCGGCCCAGGAGGCCCCCAAGACGGCCTTCAGAGAGGCCCAAGAGGGCCTCGTTCGAAATCATGTTCCCGGAAGCCTCTCCAGGAACATGATTTCTGGGTTCCGAGGACGCCCAAGAGGCCCACAAGACAGCCCCAGCGAGGCCCAAGCGGGCCCGAGATGGCTTGAAGATGGCCGAAGAGGGCCCCAAGAGCGCCTGGAAGATGCACAAATCGGCCCATTACCATCGAAAAGCGCACATTTGCAGCATACTCGCTTGCTTCGTCTTCACAGTGCCCCTGACGCCCCCGAGGAGCCCCAAGACAGCCCAAGAGAGACCCAAGAGGGCCCCAGACGGCACGAAAGTGTCGTCCTGTGGGGCTCACGGACCCCCCAAAACGGCCCCAAAGGCCCCGAAGTCGGCCCAGGAGGCCCAGGGCGGCTTCAGGGAGGAGGCCCAAGAGGCCCAAGAGGGCCTCGTTCGAAATCATGTTCCTGGAAGCCTCTCCAGGAACATGACTTCCGGGCTCCCAGGACGCCCAGGAGGCCCACAAGACAGCCTCAGCGAGGCCCCAGAGGGCCCGAGGTGGCTTGAAGATGGCCGAGGAGGGCCCCAAGGGCCTTGAAGATGCAAAAATCTGCACATTACCCTCGTGAAGCGTACATTTTCAGTATACTCGCTTGCTTCGTCTTCACAGTGCCCCAGACGCCCCCGAGGAGGCCCAAGACAGTCCAAAACAGACCGAAGAGGGCACAAGACGGCCCCAAAGGGTCGTCCTGTGGGGCTCCCGGAACCCCCCAAAACGGCCCAAGGGGCCCCAAAGCCGGCCCAGGAGGCCCCCAAGACGGCCTCAGGGAGGCCCAAGAGGGCCCCGTTCGAAATCATGTTCCCGGAAGCCTCTCCGGGAACATGATTTCCGGGTTCCCAGGCGCCCAAAGACAGCCCCCAGAGGCCCCAGACATGCCGAAGATAGCTCCAGGAGGCCCCTCCAAAGAGCCCCCAAACCCGAAAATCATTGATGTGCGTGCGCTGGTTTGAATGGGGAGAGTCTCGGAGGCATGTTGCAAGCAGCGCCTATATTCGCAACCGTTTTCGCTCAACGTTTCTCGCGGGATGAATCCCAGCCAGGCCGCCAGCACAGGGGCGGTCTTCGTTGCCTTCTCGGAAACGGTGGTGAGGCCACTCCTCACCCGGCCTCCTCAGATCAACTGCCCTGGCGGTGGCGAGCCCTGGCCCGAGTGTCCGCCTTGCCCCAGCCCGGCGTGCCCGCCCGCGGCACCACCCGAGGTGTTCGGCTTGGGCGTCTACGACGCCGACAGCGAGGCTTCGGCGGAGGCGAGCTTCCGGGTGGTGTTGAGCTGCGCCTCGTCGGTTGTGCACGCCCTCTGGCTCCTGGGGTCGGCGTGCCGGCGCCGCCAGGATGGCGCTGGTGGCAGCGGCGGGAGGCGCAGCGGGGCGGGAGTTCTGGAAACGCCTTCGGCCAGGAGAAGTGTATCTGGCGTGGTACGAGGACGACGCGGTGTGGCACGAGAGGATGTGCTTGTGGCCGACGGTGGAGTCGAGCGTCTGGGTGATCTTGGCGCCCGACGGCCACGCCTACGCTGAGAGCGTGGCAGGCTGCAGCGAGGGGCCAGCGCGTGCCCGCTGGCTGCGCGCTGGCTTGCTGCCGGGCGGGCTATCGGAGGCGGTCTACCGCTTCAGGGAGTACCCCAGCACGCGGGAGCTGCGGGTGCTCTTCGGCGAGGCGCGCGAGGAGGCGATGCTGGAAACTGCAGGTGGGGCGCTCCCCGCCGTCACTGTCTACGTCAGCCCCAGCGGTCGCGAGAGGCCGGTCGAGTCGCTGCTAGACGTGGCTGAGGATCCAGCGGGCGGTGCGGACGGCGGTGGCGCTGGAGCTGTGGCCGCGGGCCTGCTGGCTGGCGTCGCGCATGTCACCGCGCCGGCGCCGCCCCACGAAGGGAAGAGTTGGGTGGTGGTGCATCTCTCGGTCGGCTGGGAGCGCGTCGGCGAGTCGGTGGAGGTCGGCGACGGTGACCTGATGCTGGCTGGCTCCGGCGATCTGCACGAGGCGCTTGTCAGTGAAGGCAGTGGATGGACGAAGGTGCTTGCCCTCAGCGAGCACGAGCGGGAAGCTTTCCGCGAGCGCTCGCGGAGGTTGGCCCCGACAGCGCCCGCCCCCGACGGTGCAGTCGGTGAGGCCGAGGCCGCTGCGGGCGCCAGCGCGCCGCGTCCCGAGGGCGGCCTTGACGCCCTGGCTGCTCGGCTCAGTGCTGGTGATCGCGGCGGCGGCGGCTCAGGAGGCGAGGGCGACGTGCGGACGCCGGCGGTCGACTTCGACGCGCAGGGGAAGCGGTCCGAGGCTTGGTGCGAGGTGGTCGCGGAGATGACGCGTCACGGCTTCGCGGACTGGCTGCTGGATGCGCCCCCGACTGCTGTCCACTTCTGTGCCCGCATGGGGCGCACAGGGCGCGTTCCCTCGGTCGACAAGTGAGCCCAGAGCAAGAACATCGCAGGCAGCGACAGGGTCTACTACGAACTGAAGACCATCATCGAAGCCTTGGAGTACGCAGGTCGCTATGATTAGCTCAACCTCGGATCGTTGGTGTTTGCGGAGCTCCTCTGCCTGCGAGCGCAGGCCATCGTCGGCGCCCGCGACGCCGATCCCAGCGAGCTCAGCTTTGAGAGCGCGAAGTACTTCTCAGGGCTCAAGAGCTCGTCGGATGCGGCGTCACCTAACTTGAAGAGTTTCGCGGCCAGGAAGGCCAAAGAGGAGGCCGAGGTTGAGGCGCAGCGGTAGAAGGTCAGAGAGCTCCGCGGTAAAGGCGAGAGTGGAAAGACTGATGCCGCAGGAAGAAACAAGTGATCGTGGCGGCCGGGTCTGGGGCCACCAGCGGACACGGCTCGCAACTGAGACTGGTGGCCACTGCCCCGTGGGGCGCTTCAGCCCCGCGGGGATTTGTCCAGTGCCGTTGCTCGAGACAGAGCCCCCAGCTCGAGGTCTCTCTCGTGGAGTCCGTCAGCGGGTTGGGCGTCGGTGCGCGTCGGGTGACGGGGCCAGCGAGGTTCTGCAAGCTTTGAACTGGATGTCGGGCCGCGGAGCCGCTGCAGAGGTATGCCGAGCTCCTGCAGCCGCAGCCCCCGTCCACAAGGATATCTACGACCGTGTGCTGAAGGCTGTGCACAGCTGGAAGGCACCAGAGCGTCAGGTCTGCCAGGAGGAAACCGCGCGCGCGCTTCTCCGCGCCGAGTCGGTGCGCGACCAGGCGCGCATGACTGTGACACTCTACGGGCAGGGCAAGGTGTCGCTCCCCGCCGACGTCCGCTACGCGATGTGCGCTGACTTGATCGGGGGCACGCGCGCCCGCGTTTTTCTCGAGAGGTTCGTCGAACGTAATCGGCGGAGCCCCGAGGGGGTGAATGAGCTCGACCACACTTTTGGGGCTGTTAAGCTGTGCGTGGGCCGCCGCTCGGAGTCGTCGCCTCGGCCCTACAGGAGTTTCGTGCGCCAGCTTGATCAGAAGGGCATGATTCATTGGGCGAAGGCGCCCAAGTGCCTCATCTCGTTGTTCTTTGTGATGAAGAAAAGCGGGGCCCTTCGGATGATCGCGGATGCGAGACCTGTCAGCGAGCTTTTTCTGCCACCCCCCGGAGCGCAGCTCTGCGCTGCTGCGGGTTCGGGGCGCATCGAGCTCCAGGGGGGGGCACCTACGTGTACATGGCGCAGGCGAACGTGGCCGACTGCTTCCACCGCCTCCGCATGCGCGAGGAGCTCGCGGAGTTTTCCGCGCTGCCGCCGCTGCCGGCGCGGGAGGGTTCTGGATGGTGGAGAGCTGCGGTGGGGGCGTGGTGGGGGCGCGGGGAGGGGGGTGGCAGTGCGGGTGCCGGGCCGTGGTGGAGGCGTGGTGGGGGCGTGGTGGGGGGTGTCGGTTAGTTCTGGGCGAGAAATTGTCGCGTGAGGGGTCCCAAGAACTGAGCTCGCGAGGAAGTCGGGATGGTGGAGAGCTGCGGTGGGGGCGTGGTGAGGGCGCGGGGAGGGGGGTGGCGGTGCGGGTGCCGGGTTTGGTGGGGGCGTGGTGGGGGGCGCGGCGGGGGTGTCGGTCGGTTCTGGGCGGGAAATTGTCACGCGGGGGGGCCCGGGAACTGAGCTCGCGGGGGGGCCAGGAGAGGAGTATGGGGTGCACGTGGGGCCGCATTTGCGGAGTGAGGGACCCCAATAGCAGAGGTTGCATGAGTGGGGGGTGCCGGGGCAAGGGTGGGGGGGGGGCAGGGGGGGCGGTAAGATGGGTAGCAGTTTTGAAAGAGAGCTGCGGTGGGGGCGTGGTGAGGGCGCGGGGAGGAGGGTGGCGGTGCGGGTGCCTGGGCCTGGTGGAGGCGGCGGTGGGGGGTGTCGGTCAGGTATGGGCGAGAAATTGTCGTGTGGGGGGTCCCAAGAACTGAGCTCGCGTGTGATTCTGGATGGTGGAGGGCCGCGGTGGGGGCGTGGTGAGGGCGCGAAGGGGGGGTGGCGATGCGGGTGCCGGGCCGTGGTGGGGGCGTGGTGGGGGCGTGGTGGGGAGTGTCGGTCAGGTCTGGGTGAGAAATTGTCGTGTGGGGGGTCCCAAGAACTGAAGCTCCCGAGAGGGTTCTGGGAGGTGCGGAGGTGAGAGTGCGCGGGGTGTGGTGGGGCGCGCGGAGAGGGGGGTGCGATGCGGTGCCGGGCCGTGGTGGGGGCGTGGTTGGGCGGTGTCGGGTCAGTTCTGGGCGAGAAATATTGTCGTGTGGGGGGTCCCAAGACTTTGAGCTCGCGAGCGATTCTGGTGGTGGAAAAGCGCAGTGGAGGCGAGGTGAGGACCGCGGGAGGGGTGGCGGAGGTGCGTGTGAGTGGCTGGCCGTGGTGGGGCGCGGATGGGAGGATGGGAGGCGTTCGGGGGGGGCGGGGGCCTCGTTCGGTTCTGGGCGAAAGAAATTGTCGCGCGGGGGGCCCGGGACTGAGCTCGCGGAGGGGGGGCGAGAAGAGTAATGGGGTGCGCCTTGGGGGCCGCATTTGCGGAGCGAGGGGGCCCCAAGAGCAGAGGTTGCATGAGGTGGGGGATAGCCGGGCAGGGGTGTGGGGGGGGCAAAAAAGAAAAAGAAAAGGAAAGGTAGAAAAGAAAAGGAAAGAGAGAAGAGGGGGGGGGGCTGTAAGATGGGTGGCAGTTTTGAAAGAGAGGTTGCCTGAGTGGGGGTCTTGCAAGAGAGGTTGCAGAGTTGGGGTTGCGAGAGTTCTTGTCTTCCGAACTAAAAGACCATTGCCAAACGCATGGAATCAGGCGTGCAACTACTGCCGGCTACGACCCAAGCGCCAACGGGGCTGGTGAAAATGCTGTTGGGCACTTGAAGCGGAGAGCCCTTCAGTTGCTCACCGGAAGCCGAATTCCCAGCTCCTGATGGGGAGTCGCAGTGCTGACATCTGCCTACCATTCTAGATGTGCAGCTGGGCTGGAGCAGTGGCCAACAGTGCCCTTCGGGGCCCGTGTGAAGATCGTTCGGGACCTTTCTCCTCGAAGCGCTTTCGTCCCGAGGTCAATGCCAGGTGCTGCCTTTGGACCTTCTGATCGAGTTCCTGGAGGTCTCATCGTGTTCCAGGAGAATCGCCTCAAAGAAGTTGTCAAATTCCAGATGTCCAGCCTGGAACCTGAGGAGATCACGTTCGTGAAAATGCACTTGAAGGAGTGGGTGCCCCAGTTGCGCCATGCTTTCCACCACCGCAGGACGCTTGGGACCCGATGCGAGCCACCTGGGCGAGGAACCATGGCGACGCTTTCTCAGGACAGCAGTTGTTGCCAGAACCGGAGAAAGACAGCCCCCTCCGCAGAGGCCCCTCAGGTGGAGGAGCGGGCAGAGGATCCCAGGATTATAATTGAAGATCTTGTCGAACGTGATGACGAGGCTGCAGACGGTGGCCCCCCTGCCTCGCGGCGTCGCGGGATAGCCTCTGCAGGCTCAAAGGACCAGGGGGGGACCGATGGCGTTAAAGTGGCTTCGGCTTCTTGGCTCCCGCATGCCCTCGTGATTTGTTCGGTAGCATCTGATGCAAATGCCACCTATGCCACCAGCGACGGGGGCGACGACGGCGCAACAGCCGGTGGCGATGATCTGCCGGGGGTCGCCACGGATGCCGATTCCGACCGCGTCAATGAGGTCAGTGAGGACGATGATGTGACTGTGGGTGCGTTTACGGTTGACGATCTTCATCTTGATCTTGAGTAGTCTTCATCGCGTTCAGAAGTCGCTCGTGACGGTGACGCCCAGGCGGGGCCCTCGGCATCCGCAGACACAGAGCCTTCAACTCACCAGGAGAAGGACGAGGATGAGGGCCAGGAAGATCCAGCTCCACAGCCAGCCAGCCGTCAAAGGCGAAGGAGACGGAAGAGGTGCGGTCAATATGAGCAGGCTTCCATCCACCCCTTGTCGCCTGTCCTGACGGTTGCAGTTGCCATTGGCGTGCGTGCAGCGGCTGCTGACATCGTCGACGATTCGGCAGTTGACACTCTCGCTCTCGAGCCTGGCGCTCGAGCTGTGCCCGACAAGGAAGTCGGGAACTCCGCAGGTCCTGAACGCGAGCGGTGGCGACTAGCGGCAGAGAAAGAAGTCCAGGACAGCCCCCTTAGGCTGGGGGCTGTTTCAGAAACCACCCCCGACGAGTTAGCCCGAGTAGGGGGGGGGGGGGGGGGGTCCGGCGTCTTGCCGATGAAAGCAGCATGGGCGGTAAAGGCGGATGGCGCGTGGATGTGCCGAGGCGTGGCTCGCGGCAATTCTGCTGAGAGAAAGGCGACTGAGCAAGCGTGGACGGCCCAGGCTGAAACATCGTCAGTTCTTGCAGGACTGAGATTAGCCATGGTTCGCAAGTGGTCTGTTGGCACCGTGGATGTGAAGCACGCGTTCATGACAGAGGACATCCCTAAAGACATGCTAGTTGAAGTTGTAGTCAGACCTCTTCAGATTTGGGCCGAACTTGGATTAGTCAAGCCTGGTGCGCTTTGGATTTTGTTGAGAGCTATCTATGGGCTTCGCCAGTCTCCTCGGATCTGGGGCTTAGGCCGGGATCGCATGCTGAGGCGAGCGAGGCGGCAGGTTGGCGCGAAGACGTTCAAACTTCAACAGTGCACTTCCGTTTCCCAGGTATGGATGATCAAGGAGGAAGGGGGGGGCCCGACACGTGCGGCCTGGTGATTGTCTACGTTGATGATCTGCTTCTCTTCTCCCCAGCCGGGGATTTCCGCGCCGCTCTCAAGGGGCATCTGAAAACGATTTGGGAGATGAGCGAAGTTCCAGATCTGACGCCAGGGAGCTCATTGTCGGTTATCGGCGTGGAACTTGAGATGGAGTCGTCGGGGGACCTTATTGTCCATCAGCGTGCCTTCATTAAGCAGCTTCTTGGGAACTACGGCCTTGATCGGACGAGTAAGCCGTTGACTTGATTCAGGTTGCGGTGCCTGGCGAGTCCATGAAAAGAGTGCCCGCAGCAGCGGAGCTCAAGACGATCCAGGCCCATGCTGGCGAGTTCAACGGGCTCGCGACGCGGACCAGGGCGGACATTGTTTAATGTGCTAGCGTCATTGCTTCTGCATCCACCCCCTACCCTGATTAGGCTTTGATAGTTTGCAAGAAAGTTCTTCGTTGCCTTCTTGGTGCGCCAGAAATCGGCATCCGTTTACGCGCGGACGGAAATGAACGGGAGTTGTTGTGCTGGTCGGATGCTGGATTCGGCGGTGAAGGAACTCGAGCTCAGAGCGGTGTCCTGGTAGCTTGGGCCGGAGGAGTCAT